TCCTCCCTCTCACCCTACATGATGCAGCAATTCCCGTCCTTCAAATTCTATGCTCTTTTCCTCTTTACTCGCTTCTCTTGACCCCCCCCATCCCATCCGCATCACGCTGTCCTTCTGTCCGCCCATACTTGTTGTGCCTTTTCCCACCTCGCATGTGCTTTCGTGCGGTCGATGCTTGCGTGTGCCTACATTGTACTTGCCTCTTCCCCCGACGGCATACGACATCAGAATAACGCCATTCTATGAGTGAGTGATTCCTGAGTGTGTATTTTCCATTCTGAGTATTCTCTATGCCAGTGTGCAAGATGCGTGCGTGCGTGCGATTCTTGTACAGTTGGAGGCGCTTTTGAGAATTATCGAGTTGACTGGAAAAAAAAAAAAAAATGTGTGTTCTTTTTTTCTTTTTCTTTTTTAACCCCCTACAACATGAAGATCCATGCATGCATGTCTTAAGAGCAATCGTTCCCTGAGTGCAAGTACTAGCATGCACTGGCATGCGTGCTTACGCATGATTATTTGAGAACTAGCATGCCGCTAAATGTTTATGGCAACCCTGTTGTGCCTCCTGTTTGTGTGAACTCATGATGAGAATCCAAGTGAATCCCCATGCTCAGCCACTGCCCTCTCTCTCCCATCCCTCTGCAGTGTTGACGAGGCGGCAGCGACGCGGAGTCAACACATGGCAGGCATAGGCACCAAATTGTACCCCATGCGCTCATGTGCTACTTGGGCCCACCAACTCACACCGCACTTCACCTCTCCGCATGCCCTCCCACCCCCCACCACCGCAGTGTGGACGAGGTGGTAGCGAAGCTGAGGGAGTATGTGGCAGACATAAATGCCAACCTGTCCACGCTCTCGTGTTCTATGGGCCACCAACTCACACCACACTTCACCCCTCTCTATGCTCCCCTACCACCTCTGTACCACTCTCCATCGCTGCAGTGTGGACGAGGTAGCAGCGAAGCTGAGGGAGTACGTGGCAGACATAAACGCCAACCTGTCCACGCTCTCAGGCCCCGGCCCGTGCTCGAAATTTGTTCTGCCCGAAGAAAATCTGCAGGGCAGGTGAGAACGGGCCCGTGGATATGTCTAATGCGGGAGAAGAGAAGAGAGGGAGGAGTGGGAGGAAAGGAGGAAGCTGAATGTTTGGAGCAGAGAGTGTTACGGGGGAAGGAAGCCAGTGGGCGGAGGGAACGTATGAGAGGGCGATTGAACCTCCAATGTACACGTGCCTCTCTTTTCGCCCTCTTTTCTTCGCACTCAATTTCCTTCCCTCTTCCATGAGCCAACCCCTTTCCCTAACCTCCCCTTCAGACTCGAGCTAGAGATAGCAGAGGCGCCGATGAAGGGCGTGGCGTGTAACCTGGACTCGCCTGGTTACCACGCGCTGGTAACCGCCACGAAGGATGTGATGGGCGAGTGCAAGCCGTACTCCATCACGGGATCCCTGCCGTTGATTCGCGATCTGCAGGAGGCAGGATTCGATGTGCAGACCATGGGATATGGTGAGATTGTCTTTTGATATTGATTTTGATTTCTATAATTCTGGTGCTTGGTGATACCACATCTGCTTGTTTCGGAGCATCTGAAATGGTGAGGGATTGGGGTATGGTGAGGATAGAGGGTGGGTTTTATCAATGCTTTTTCGATGTGATGGTGATAGCATGGGATGTGGTCGTACCATGTGGCTCTGCTTTTCTCTTAAATCACTATTGGTAGCCTATGCTGGTCACCTCTTTTTTTATTTCTTTTGTAGGAGCCATGTAGTGCGGCCTTCTTGGACCCACATTCTTTCGTATATGCTCCAATTCTGTGGCAGGTGTCATGGCCACTTATCATGCGCGAAACGAGTATGCGCTGCTATCCGACTTCAAGCTCGGCTATCGCGTCCTTACCAACCTTATACACCGCCTCTCGTAACCCAGCTAGGTGGACACAACAGGGTGTACAGGCTTTCTTATGTTTTTCCTCCTGTTTACTAGATTCGCACGGAGGGCTGTTGTGGCGCAAGGAAGAAATTATATCACGAATGTATTGTCTACGAATAAACAGGTGATAGGGAACCTTACAGCATAACAGCATTTTAACTGTTATCGGCAACTGTTATTCTGTATGTACTGTAACGATATTAGCTCCTACAACAAAGTTGCACCCATATTCGTTGAATGGGATACGCTCAACGGACTACAGCAATGCAAATGGTGCCGCCTAGTCCCAACAACCATGGACTTTCTTGCAACCACAAATTGTCGTGAGGCGAAACTTGTGCGGCCCCGACTAGACACGTTACCATGTTCTGGCGAGTATTTGCGAAACGCGTAAGCGAACACGGAGAAAATCTAGGAGCATCCCAACATCCAAGCACAAAGAGGATTCCCATACCAACAGGTCCCTAGGGTCAAGGACAGCATCTAGGTCGAATGATAGTTGCTGGATAGCATACCATATTCCTAGGGTTGAGGTAATGCCGACAGGACGTTGTGCGCTTACTTGACGTTTCTTGAAATGCAGCTATAGGAACAGCCTCTTGAACAAATAATGGAGCTCCAGACGAGTAGGTTAGGCAGGAGTAAATGCATACGCGTTCTGGTATTTATGAAAGGTTAATTTATTTCGTTAGCCAGAGGGTCGAGTGGCAGAAATGGCTGAGCCCGAGGAGTATTTAATTTATTACGCCGCTATAGTATACCGCGGTACAATTCTCTATGCGCACAGCAGCTTTCCCGGGGACTGCACCTCCATTATTGTCGAAGCTATGCGACAATTGCCTGATAACGTTTCCAGCTATTCCCGGGTAGGCCTCTCTTGAACACGCCTTTCTCATGTAGGCTATCAAGAGACATTGAAGATGTTTTTTTCACGCTTTAAAGTCACCTTACGAGCGTACCGCCCCGTCAACCTCTTGACGAGTGCTTTTTTTTTTTTTTTGCCTTAACCCTAACTCAGCCACGACTCTCCGTCGCTTATTCACCACTCAACTTGAGCTGGCCTATCGGAAAACCCTTTCAATGAGCCAAGTTCTACACTCATAGCTCCAGCAAGAGAGAGTGCTGTACAGAGGAGCAAGTCTTACACGCAAGCTACTACCCTAGCCTTAGAACTTTTTTCCGAAACTTTTAAGAACACCCAAGCCATTTCTTGCAAGCTACTACCCTAGTCTTACCTAACCTAGCCTTTAAATTTCTTTCCGATTCGCGTTCCTTGTTCAAGACACAGCCACCTGGAAGCTTTTTCAGTTGACGTAGAGTCATCCCTCTCAATCCTTGCCGTGTTGTTGTGTGCTGCGCAGTGCAGTGCTGCGACGGAACCGTGCTCGCATTCCTTGTGCGAGACACAGCCATCTACAATCTTTTTTTTTTCAATTGACTCCAGACTTTCCTCTCACTCTTTGCCGTGCTGTGCTGTGCTGTGCTGTGCTGTGCAGTGCTACGATGGAACCATGCTCGCATTCCTTGTGCGAGACAAAGTCGTATATACGCTTGGCGGCCATGAAGCACTGGACAAAGTCCGCGCTTACAAGTTTCTGGAGCAGGTATGCCTGGACAAAGTCGCGCTAAGTTCCTGGAGCACAGATATGCAATGCAGAATATGGAGCAGGCACGCACAATGTGGACAAAATCCGGGCTTATGAGTTTCTGGAGCAAGTACGCATTACAATGAGTTACAATGTGTTACGCAGCTTCCTTATCGCCAGAGCACTACCTAATCTGCTAATCTGTGCTGAGGCAGCCCTGCTAGAGATTTTATGATACGCAACGACACGAACTGAACCACCCCTTCGTGTGCTACACTTCTCCTGTGCAGTATAAACAGCGCGTTCTCTCTGTCTCCCCTTTTCTACTCTGCTTCTCAACATAATTCCAGCTTCATTCCATCCACATGCTGGCAGCAACCGAGGGCAAAAGTAACTGCATCAGTTCTGAATCTTGTAAACATTTCCTCCTTTCTACTTCCCCCGTCTCATCTTCATTCATCCCAGCTCCGTTCCATTCATGTGCTAGCAGCAACCAAGAACGGAAAATTCCGCACCGACCTGCTCACCTCCCCGTACAATCACGCCCTTCATAAGCTCAGCTCGCATATAGGCGCTCTCATAGCTAGTGTGCGCGGGAACGATACCCCCACGTGAGGCCCTGATTGTCTACCCGGACGCGCCTAAAGCCTACCTGACCTGCCGTTCCAGAGACGAGCTTCTGGCCAAGTCCCCCTTGCACCCACGAGCCGCTGCTACAGCCCCTGCTATAGCCGCTGCCACAGCGACCGCTTCCGTTTCTGCCGCTGTTGCTGTTGCTGCCGCTGCAACGGCTCCCTCTGTTACCTCTGCAACGGCTGAATCGAGCCTGTTTACAGCGATCGATTCTTTGGATTTACCAGAAGGCGGGAAAGTGAGTGGAGGGAGGTCGAGGCTTCAGCTGAGGATGGGGGGTGTAAATAGGGATGAAGGGGATGGTTGCCTGGGGGAAGAAGAGAGGGGCATGGAACAGCTGGGTTTAGAGAGGGGTATGGGGCTAGGTTTAGAGAGTGAAGATAGCGCTGTGAAGGTGGAGGTAGCTGATAGCAGCAGCGGTTGCGAGGAAGATGAGGAGGAAGGAGAGGAGGAGGATTTTGTGTGGAATCCACAGCAACAGATTCATAAGCAGCAGGAGAAGCAGCAGCAACAGCAGCAACGCAGGCCTTACTTGGACCGCTCGTCATTGCAGGAACAGCAGCAGGAGCAGGAGAAGAACCCTCTAAGCGACGCTGGAGACTCGCCCATGATCAGCCCACGGCCTGAATGGGCGCGCCAGTTGGCCTTGCTGCGAAGCTACACCAGCGAAGCAACAGATACAGACAGCACAACTCAGAACCAAGGGAAGGGGATGGTCACACGCACAGGAAACAAAGCGAAGCAAACTATAAAGGAGAAGGGGATGCGGACAAAAGGACGGGAAGGCAAGGACAGGCACAGAAGGTCGATGGGGAGGGGCCGAAGGGAGGGAGAAGGGACCGAAGCCGCAATGGGGACCGTTGTGGGTTCGGGTTTGGATTTCAGGCGGACGGGAGGAAAGGGAAGGTCTGTTAGTAGTGGGGGGTCTGGATGGGCGGGGTCCGGTTTTGATGAGGATTTGTCGGGCGAAGGAATGCCGGGTAGGTCTGGTTCGTTCCCGAACCTGTCTCCTGCTCGTGTGATTGCTGCAGCCGGAGTAGCGGGAGGAACAAGGGCAGCAAGAGCAACGGGGGCAGCAGGGGCAGTAGGTACAGCAGGGGCAGCAGGAGGAAGAGGCAAGGCTCCCGTGGTTGCGTATGGGCATTGTAGGTCCTTGTCGTTTGGAGGGAGCAGCAACACGCGCCTGCAGGCTGATGATTGCAGCGGTGACGAGGATGACTATACAGAGGACAGTTTTGGTGAGGAGCAGGTGGGCAGGAAGCGTTGCAATGATATCGAGGTTTACCATACAAGAGTTTCTGCTGGTGCTGGTGCTGGTGCTGGTGCTGGTGCTGGTGGTGATGGTGCTGGTGGTTGTTCTGGTCATGGTGGAAAGGGGAACGAGGAGAAGAAGAAGGCGTTCTGGTTCAAAAAAGGGGGGAAGCAGAGAGGGCAGCGATCCTCGGAGAAGGCAAGAGGCCGAGTCTGGCTTTTTCTGGTGGGCGTGTAGTAGGAGCGTCCTTGTCTCTGCCTCACGAAGAAGCACGCTTCTCGCACTCACCTGCACCTGACGCTCATTTCCCAAGGCAGCAGCACACAGCGCGTGTGGCAGCATCCTTTTCCCTTCCTCGCATCGACACCCATTTCTCACAGTCAGATGCCGACTCAGCACCAGAAGCAGCAGTTTGCAGAAGCAGGACCGGCAACAGAAGAAACAGAAACAGAAGCAGAGGCAGGGTCAGAGGCAGCGGTAGAGATAGAAGCGGCAGGAGTAGAGACTGATTCCGGTTCAGATTCTTACTCAGGTGCAGCGTGGAAAGCACAGAAGGTGGGACACCAGGCGGGGCGCGTTAAACGAGCAACCACTGGGTCAGGACAGCAGAAGCTGCCCTTAGGCCGCGTTATGCACACCACAAGCGGCACTAAGGTTGCTACTAGGAGCCTTACGGATTCTAGGAACGGCTCTGGGACTGGTGCTAGGAATGGGGCTGCTACTAGGAGTGGTAGTGCTGGGAACAACACCAAATCTGGTGGTAGAAGTGGCAGGGAATCTGATGATAGGAGTGGCATTACTGGGGCTCTTGCTGGGGCTAGTAGTAGCAGTGCATTGGCACGAGGGCACATAGGTAAGTCGTTTTTCTCAAGACTACACGATGCAGGTATTTCCGAGGGAGGAGGTTTCAAGTAGGCAGAGACAGAGGGCTTCTGGCGGTTCAAGGGGTGGGAGTGGAGGTGTGGGGCACTCATCGCTTGGTGAAGAGTGGGGTTCTGGTAACTCTGGTAATTCGCCCTCCGGCCAAACATGGGACTCAGAGGTTGCGAGCAGGCTAGCAGCTGTGGGCGCTCGTGTGCTAGCAGGGAGTGGCGGAGGAGTAGGGGGAGGAGGAGCTGGAGTTGGGACGGGGATAGTAGGGGCAAGGTTAGCAGGGAGAGAAGCAGGGACAGATGCAGGCTTCTCGAGAGGCGGTTCGGGGGACGATTTGTTTGATGATATCTCAGAAGGTGACGAGGATGACTCCGATGCGTTTGAGTGGCGCCCGTCTCGCCGCCGCACTCGCATTCTGGGCGGTGTTGCCCGGTCCACGTCAGCAGTCACCTCTCCCACGTCAGCGATGGGTTGGACAGGTTGGCGCGACCTGAGTCAGCAGCACAAGTGGCAGCAGCAGCAGCAGCAGCAGCAGCAGCAGCAGCATCAAACAGCGCAGGCTCACTCGCATAAGCCTCGCCATAAGCACTCCAGGGAGGAAAGGTCCAGGGAAAGGCCGCACTCAGCAGGGGCACGCAGAGAGAGCTATGGGACGAGAGGATCGGTTGGAACCAGCAGGAACAGCAGGAGGATCCGCGAGCACAAGACCTAGCTCAGCTTCTTGTATTGACAGGGAGAGGGGGAAGGGGGGCAGGAGGAGAGAGGAGAGAAGCGGGGGCCGTTTCTGCTGCCTCTGCTGCTTCTGCTGCTACCGTAATGGCTAGTAGAAGCGCTGTTCCTGTGTCCGTGTCGCTGGGTGTGACAGGCACGTCGTTTTCTCCGGGGGGTGGTTTGAATTCGACTTTGGGGGGTGACGGTACCTTGGGTGGCGTGTTTCCCCGTCACAGTAGTGTGGGTTCTGGTGGCAGGCGTGATAGTGGTGACGGTAGAAGCAGGCACGGTGGCAGTGGTGAGGGTGGGAGGTATGGTGGCAGTGGTGACGGTGAGAGGCATGGTAGTGGCGATGGTGGGAGCAAAGAGGCAAGAGGGGACAGGCGTAGGGGCATTGGAACGGGAGCAGGAGCAGGAGGAGGGGGAGGAGGAGGAGTAGCAGGAGGAGGAGGAGGAGGGGGACGTGGGGTGGAATGTGAAGACGAAGGGGCTGGGAATGGGGAAGGGCTAGATATGAAAGGGGAGGAGGAGGAAGAGGGCAAGAGGTGGATGAATTTGAGAGGTTAGTTTCCCCTTCTCCTCCCTCAGCTAGAAGACCAATTGCAAGGCGCACGAGAACAGGGGTGTCACACAGTGCAGAGTTCATTTCCCTCCGACACGTTAGGGGGCTGCTGCATACAGGCAGCAGTGGGGGCGGCAACAATGAGTCAATGTTTGAGTTGGTTCAAAAATCCCCTAGAGAAGTGAGAAAGCTGCTGCATACTGGCAGCGGTGGGGACGGCAGCCGAGACGAGCCTTGTTTGGATCCCTCTAGCTTTGGTCACGGGAGCAGCAGAAGCAGCAGTGGCAGCAGAAGCAGCAGCAAGCAGGTCCCAGTAACACCTACTGGTAGTTCCCGAAAGTGGCATAGTCCAAGGGAGGAGAAGAGGAGGAAGCGTCTCAATGGTGGATACAGAGGGAAATGCCTCTGGACTTGCTCATTTTGACTCTCGACACACCTCTCGACCGTTCCCCACCTCTCGAGGAGCAGCAGCAGCATCGCCAGCAGTTTGCAGCTCTCTTCTCCTCTGCCCGACGCCCCCACCCGCCCCTTCAGTCCTCGCACCGCCCCCACCTCCCCCTCCTCCCTCTCCCTCCTCGTCTCCCCCCGCAATTCCCGAGGCCGCAGCTTCGGGTTCGGCGGATCCACAAGCACGCGACAACCAGAGTGCGAGGAGCAGGCACTAGCAGCCAAAAAATCCCAGTTGGCCACGTTCAGTCGATGTGTGAGCACGGGAGATTGGGAGGGGGAGGCGATGGGAAGATCACCGGGAGGAGTGAGAGTGAGAGCGAGAGTGGGGAAGAGGTGCAATGGGACAGGGGCAGGGGCGGGAGCGGTAGCGGGGGCGAGGGCACCAGCGGGGGCAGGGGCAGGCACGGAAGCAGAGAAAGAATGTATTCTCATGAGGCAAATCCACCTGGTGGTAGTTTTTTTCAGAGCTGTAGACGAGTCCACCAGAGGCCGTGGCGGATGGCACGGCTGATGGTTACACGGATACCACCGGTGGTTACGCAGACGGCACAGGCGGTTACCACCTCGCACGTGAACCCTCCCTCTTCTCCCCAGTAGCAGAGGACGAGGGTCAGGAGCCCCTCTCCTCCTCCACACTCTCCTCCTCCGCGTCTTCCTCTGCAGCCTCCCTCTTCCTCCGCTCCATGAGCTCTGGCAGAGCCGAGGATCTGCTGCTGCAGCAGTTTCACCGCCACCTCTCCCCTGAGGTTCGCCCCGGCACTGCTGGTGGCGCCTGGGGATGCAGAAACCACGCAGTTGACGATTCGGGCGGCGGAAATCGAAGTTCTGGCGATTGGGGTAGTGGTAACGGTGGGAGTGGAGTCACAGGGAAGGGAAAGGATGGGGTGGAGGGACGAGTGGTAGGTGGGCGCAGAGGGGATCTGGGGCGTGGAGGGGTTGGGGCGTTAGGGGGCGCAGAAGCAGCAGCAGGATTGCGAGCGGCGTTTGTGAGTGGGAGAGCGCGCAGCAGCAGCTTCAGTGGCGCTGCTGGTGGGTTTGCGGGCAGAGGGGGGGGCGGATGGGGTGGGGAAGACGACGAGGGAAGCACACCCGGGGGAGGGGCGTCTGGGGGAGGCACACCTGCGGGCGGAACACCTAGGGGAGGGGGATATGGCAGCGGGACGAGCAGCGGCGCAGAAAGCACTGGGTCGGTGATAGAAAGAGGCGGCGGTGGTACTAGTAGTGGAAGGAGGAGAGCGGGGGTATGGGGAGTGGGGATGGGGGGGAGGGCAGTGGAGGACCTAGGCTGACAGAGGCTCAGAAGCAGCGGTGGCAGGAATATCAGCAGCTGCTGCCGCCGCTGACATTGCCGCCTGTGCTGGAACGGAGGCTGAAAATGCAGGAGGCGGTTCTGAAAAGGCAGGAGGCGCTGCTGCTGGAAGAGCTGCAGCAGCAGAAGGCACTGCAGGAGCAGAAGATGTTGCAGGAACAGAAGAGAGCTGAGGAGCAGCGGAAGCAGGTGGAGGAGGGAGCGCACCAGCAGCAGCAGCAGCAAACGGAGAGGCAGCAGCTTGCAGGAAAGCAGGAGGCAACTTTGGTTCCGCAACAGGAAGAGTTGGGCAGTGTCCCGTTGGAGAAGCGAGAAGAGTCACAGCAGGCAAAGGGACAGCAGCAGCTGCCAGAGCAGCAGAAGCAGCAGCAACAGCAACAGCTACAACAGCCGCCGCTACAGCCCCATCCACCCCAGAAACCAAGGCTGGAGCCGCAGCCCCCCCAGCAGCCCAGGAAGGATCGTGACCGTCCGTTTGTGCGTCAGCGGATCTGCCACTCGGACGAGTTCATCCGGCTGCCAGCTGGCATGACCGCCCGCGGGGGCGGCAGCCTCGTTGGGTTGTCCACGCGGGCGCACTGCCTGGCTGCTGCTGCCACGTCAGCAGAGTCTCCTGCGGGCGGCAGACTGAGCATGGGAGGACGGAGAAGGAGGGGGATGGGGAGGAGGCGACGGGGTAGGAGGAGGAAGGGAGGGAGCAGGAGCAGGAGCAGGAGGAGGAGGAGGGGACGAAGGAGGATGGGGCAGAGGAAGGGGGAGGAGGGGGGAAATGGAGGAGGGCGGCGAGTAGGAGCAGGGGGAGGAAGGGGCAGGGGACGAGGGGGGGGATGGTCTAGGGAGATCCCAATATCCCTGTCCGTATCAGGCATCCCCCCACCAGGACTAGATGCACAATCAGACACAATGACAGATGCTATGGCAGATGCTATGACTCCCACACAGTCTCCTGTCTGCACGCCCCTCCGTATGCCCGCTCGCTCGTGTACGGTCGTTCCCCCCGCACGGCATTTGACCGCTACCGCATTCGCAGCTTGGGGGCCATTCCGCCAGGGGGGGCTTGTGGCTGGCTCCATTGTGGTAGGTGGGACGGCGGGAGGAGGGGGCGCAGCAGGGTTCGGGGCGTCTGCTGCTGATGGTGCTGGTGCTGGTAGTGCTGGTGCTAGTGCTGGTGCTGGTGCTGCCTCTGCTGCCAATGCTGGTGCTGGTGCTGATGCTAGTGATGGGGATGGGGCTGCTGGAGGAACTAAGGAGGGTGCTGCAGGGGCGAGCAGTGGGGGCGAGCAGGGAGGCGGGGCGAGCAGGCTGCGGGGGTCAGTGGGCCTCACAGCGCCCTCAGGCCTCACCTGGGACGAGGAGATTTCCCGGAAGCTGGCTCTGCGGGGGGTGCAGGTGCGGCCGACCAGCAGCAGTGTTTCGGCAGCAAGCCCCTCGTCGTCTGCTCACCAGCAGCCGACGAGTCTCTCGACGCAAGAAGGTGCTGATTTCGCCGCTGCAGCAGGAGCAGCAGGGACAGCAGGAGCAGCAGGGACAGCAGA